CAAGGCAGCACCACTTCCAGGTTCTCGGGCTGTTATACTCTTTCATGAGGCGCAGAAAAATTGAATGTGGAAAACAGAAGTGGACGATGGCATGATGATGGATCAGTAAAACTGTACAGCTTTCATAGCGATGGTAAAAGGTAATGGCGATGGCTCCAGCTCACAGAAGTGTAGCAAGCTTGCTGCCACCAAACCGCGGCGCTGTTACCATCAAGAAGTATGCTCCGCTCTGCTCTGCTCTGCGATTGCGGACCGCGCCACATTGTGCACCGAAGGGCTACACGTCGGGTAGTGTACACTGTTTCTGGGAAGAGCACGCGTGAATCAGGCATCTACGACACATATGAATAAATTACCAGGGAGAATCACCGTTAGGGATTCCCCAATAAGCGGGGAGGGTCGCATTTTATTCGCCATGGGGGGTCATATTTTCCTCGCGGTTTCTCTCGTCACATGTGTTATATCTGTGTGAATAATAACCATCATCCCCCCCCCCTCCACGCTCGGCAGCTAGTCTTATCAGAGGAGGAAACTATGGGTGTTGTCAAGCCACCTCTCAGGGGATCGTGGACCCGAGAGGAAAAATCCTCTCGGGTCCTCAAAATCCTCAACCTATAATGTGCTTGTCGTGCCTGTCCAAAACAGAACAAGATGATAGTTGTCCCAGACTGGAATATTCCACGAGTAACCAGTTCCGTGCCATGTTCAAATGCCACGCCTACTCTGGCTCAGGGATAAGGAGTGTATCTGTCAGTGATGGGATCGGATATGAAACAAACGAAGCCATATTTGGACGTCTTACACTTTCACTGTATTGCCATTTAAAGTGTTTGTATCAGACAGGTCAGGTCATGACAGTAACCGATTGGAACGTACACAGACTTGCCTCAACGGGCTATGGTGTTGGATCACCACGCTGGGAGTTCTCTCCAACTACGAAACACATCGGCTGCCTCAGTGGAATCGGCAAGCTATACTCGAAATCCCTGAGATCGGGTAGGCGTGGCCGCATGCTTCAACTTAACCTGAAGGTGTCTATGCTTCTGGTGAGATATTTTCATCTTGACACAATTGTTGTCGTGTCTCTGTCCAACACAGAACAAGATGACAGTTGTCCCAGACTGGAATATTCCACGAGTAACCAGTTCCGTGCCATGTTCAAATGCCACGCCTACTCTGGCTCAGGGATAATTGTAAGTGAGTGCCCTGGGTAGACCGCCCAGGAAAACATGAGAAACAACAGCAGATGCAGATCCCATTCCTGAGCAAGTGGTGAATGAGAAGTTTTAAGTAAAGTCTGATTCAGGAGCATCTAGCAGTGAAGAATATGTATGGCGAGCTCTTCGTCGTGGTCACATGTAGAATAGAACAGCTCTCTGACTAACCATAAGTGAGAGGTTCTGCGCGTTTTTGAATGACGAAAGAAGCGCATTTCCACATCTGTGGAACAGTTCACTTTCCACAGATGTGGAAAGGGGATAGGTGTGAGAATGAAGCGCGTCGTTGAGATATTCCAGCCGGCTATCTGTTATAAGGATAAGGATGAAGTCGCCGCTTTTCATCAATTCCTTTTTCAGAACGCGACATGCATTCTACTTCTATTCGAAATCGTAGTGGCTTATTCAATGCGATATGGGTTATACAATAGCTTGCTGGAGCACCGATGCACAAGTCGGTGTGGTCCGTGGAGGGCAGAAAGTTTGGTTGGCCTAGATGGGGGCTGGGTTTGACTCAAGGACCGTGAGCGTGTTGTGAATGCAGTTTGCCACCATACTCTTATTATGTGATGTAAAAAGAAGAACCCTCTAGGACCACCCGGAAGTTGTTGCTGTGTTGTCTCAGCAAACTTTTTGAGATGTCTTTCCGTCGCATTCGTGACCCTCTGACTAGTCTGTTCCCCACGAGCTTCTAATTCAATCATATTGTCTCTTAGCATTGGTAGACTTCGAATTCTGGGTTAATATAGAATTTAGAATCTGCAGATCTTCAGTGGATGAAGAAAACTCGCCGTAAGTCTCTAGAGGCGAGCAATCTGTTTCAGCTACTTTTGCTCAACCGAATGGTATGGAGGTGGCAAGCAACACTTTGTCGGCACTATTGAACCCCAAATTCCTACCCTAAAAAACTCAAAAAAAATTTTTCGCTGAAACATCGCCTGTGCCACAATGGTCCTATACTGATTTTACAAGTATTCTTTTATACTGTACTGTCTGTGGTATAGAATTTTGTCGTTATATTCCGACTGCAGAGCCATTTACGGAGAATCGAGAGATTCGGCCGCGCGAAAGTGAGTGGGTACCGGAGTTGAGCGAGATCGTTGATTTCTCCGCCACTGTAGACCACCCTGTTGAGCTCCGCCCGAACTAGGTAATTGAGTGGGTTCAGGTCAGGGGACATATTTCAATATTACATCTTCATCAGGTACGAAACGCCCTTCCATTCGAAGTAGGCGGGAGTTTT